GGGGAGGGCCGTGCCGGGGATTACCACGGGATTACAGCGTGGCGGGGTGGCGGGTGCCACGCTAATCCTGCAGGGCTTCACTCCCGGGCTACGGCATGTGTTTGCATTAGTTACAGATGCTCTCTAAAAAAAAAATGAAAAAATAAGGAAGAAAGAAGAGAATCAGAAATACAAAGTGGGCCGGGATCTCTGGAAGGAAGGAGGGTGGCAGCTTTGTCCCTGCCAAAAGAGGGAAAGCCTTGGAAAGCTGCTGGGGACTGGGCACGGGAGAAGGACCTTCCCGCAGGACCCCATCCTTCCAAGGAGAAAAAGCCATTTTTTCTCCTTCCTGAGTCTAGTGCAAAATTCCCCATCTGTCAGTTTAATTCAGTGATCGATGGGAAAGAGCCAGCAAAGCGGCCCGGCACAGCTGGCTTCCCGAGTTAGCCCTGGCAGGACATCGCCGGCCCCGCTGCCGGCGGCCCCGGGAAATGTTTGCAAAGCGCAGAGAACACAAGTCAATAGTAATTTAGCCCGATTGGGAGCAGGTACCTTCTCCGCACGGCCCGCGAGCTCCCGGGAGAGAGGGAAGGCACGTGCCGAGGGCAGCGCCGCGCGCTTGGAAACGCTTCCCAAACGCGGCTGGCTGGGCCAGGAGGGGACGGAGCGAGGGGGCGGCACCCGCAGTGCTCACCCTAGGTGCTCATTTCACACCCTTCAGCAAAAAGGTCAGAGAAGAAGCAAAAAATCTTCACAATTTTTCTTTTTCTTTTTACCTTCTTGAATATTACACCTAGTCTCACCATCCCCTTTAGCACCAAATCCTCTCCGAAGCCGGCAGAGCCCTCGGCATCTCCAGCCACCCTGGGGCAGTGAGTTGCGCTGTGCTGCGAGGAGCACTCAGAACTCAAGGAAGGGAAGCGATTTTGCTGCTGCATCACCGTCCTGTCTCCAGATGGAAAGAAAGTACCCTCGGAAGTGAGGGAAGGATTTAGTCCTTTACACACAGTGCCTGGAGACAACAGCGTGAGCCCGCGGCGCTCTGCGACCGCCACAACGGACAGCACGGGGCTGTGGTCCTCACAGCATTAGGCCTTTACTTCTCCTCACAGCATTAGTGAAGCCATTTCTGGCACCTTCTGGGGTCTCCACTTTCTTTTGGAACATTACAAAGATTCAGAACAAGCCTTAGAAGTGACCTGAAAAATACATAAAATGGGAAGGGAGCCTATTCCCTTTTATTGCATCTATTAGACCTATCGAAAAGATGGCTCAGAAGTGGCTTGATTGCTATGACAAATGCTTGCAAGGAGAAAAGATTTAGGAGATCAGACCTCTCTTTAACCTAACAAATAACAGCGAAGTGAGACCTGAGAGCTGGAAGCCAAATCTATATAAATGGTGTCCAGAAATAAGGTGCATAATTGCACCAGAGAGAAGTCAGTAACGGGACTTGAAAGATTCTCTGTCTCTCCCAGCCCAAGCCTCGACTTTAAGAAAGTATTTTATTGCTAGGACAGAAATTACTGGCCTGTAATCGCCCTGCTGGACAAGAGGTTTTGGCCTATGCTACTCTAAACACCAGCCTGAATGATCAAGATGGTTCTCTCAGGCCTGGAGACATCGGAATCTGCTGTGATAGCAGTGAGACCTGCACAATGAGATGGAGCAGGAAGATTTTGTTGCTTGCTTGTAATGAAGCCAATGGAAATAGTCATCTCCTTGGAAGTTTTCTCTTTGGACATGGGTGATAAGAACCCCCAAGGCCCTGCTGCAAACTTCTCACCCTCTTCATCAGTGCTCTTTAGCCTCTCTGACACAGAGAACGTTACCTCCTACCTTCGGAAACACCTGCCTATCACTGCTTAGAACTGATAACCAAGAACTGATTAGAAAAAAAAAAAGAAAACAGGAGAAAAAAAGAAGCTTTTCAAAATTCCTCAATTCCAGTGAAATAAAACTTGGAAGAAGCGTGTCCTGAAATGTCCGTGAGATGAGGAATATCAGAGTTCTCTGTACTGCTTTGACACCTTCACCTTTCGGCAAGGTGCAGCACTGGAAAGAAATTTGGGGCAGGAAGTGGAAAATAAACCCAAGTGGATGGCAGGGTAAAAGCCAGCCCCATACAGTGCACTGCTGCTTTTGAAGGCATCTGTCTCCAAGTTGTGCTTCTCACACACGGACCATTTGGCTCAGCTTGGGCAGCAAAGCAAGGTGAACCAGGCAGTGGTTTTTGTTGTCAAAGAGCAGCTGAGAGATGAGTGGCACCGGGAATCCTGTCTGGAAGGCATCTTGTTCCATTGGGTTTTCTGGAGCTTTGAAGAGCCCCAAAATCTTCTCTCCCTCCCTCTCTACCATGTTGAGGCAGATCCTGTCCTTGCTGGAGATCACTTGGCATACAGAGCTGGCCACTACAGTGCAAAAGCATAGGAAGAACCTCACAAGTTGTCCACGCAAGGGCAGGGGAGGAAACTCCAAGGGATGTGGACGAAGAGGGCACGCACCAGAGCGCCCAAAGGACGGGAGAGGCCTCTGCCACCAAGCTGCTGTCAGTGCCACGTCAGGGCGAGCAGTGGCCACCAGAGAGCAGTCCCTTTGCTCCGCTTCGATGAGCAAGGCCGTGGCTCGGCTGGGTAGCGGGGCTGAGCAAGGAATGGGGAAGCTTTGGCAGAAAAGGACAGCGGAAAAACGGAAGGGAGAAGGGAAAGAAAAGGGAGAGAAAAAGCTCTCCCCATGCCTGGCAAAGCTGTTCCTTCCCGAGGCTGCTCTCTGGAGCGTAAGTGTCTGCTGCCTGGCTCAGAGCACGTTCCTGGCGTCTCAGGGGACCGCAGCGAAACGCAGCTCTGATCCCGGCGGCCCCGAGCACAAAGGCGGCCGGCATGGAGGCCGGTGGGAGCGCCCTGGGCGAGGG